GTGCAGTGGCAGATCTTGACTCGCTGCCACCTCCGCCTCCCGGCTTCAAGCAATTCTCTTGCCTCAGCCTCCTGAGTAGCTGGGATTACAGGCACATACCACCAACCCTGGCTAATTTTTATATTTTTAGTAGAGACGGGGTTTCACCACGTTGGTCAGGCTGGTCTCAAACTCCTGACCTCGTGATCTGCCAGACTCCCAAAGTGCTGGGATCACAGGCGTGAGCCACTGCACCTGGCCTATATATGTTTTATATATACCCAGTATGTATATTTGATATATATATGAAATAAAGTGTATTTTATAAAAATATAAAACATAAAAAATACATAATATATGATAGCAATGAGAATAGTAATAAAAACAACGATGCAGTCCCGTCCCCTTTTTGTCAGCACCCCCTAAAAATATAAAAATCAAGTTTATTAAGGAGCAAATCCCAAGGTTTTTATTTAGAAGCCAGTGTCTATAGGCTCGCTCTTGCCTGTTGTTGCCTTAATTTCATGGTAGGGGAAAACTCGTTTTTGAACTGTACACACACCCCTGCTTTTAATGACCGTTTATATTTTAATTTTTTCAACTTTTATTTTAGGCCCAGGAGTCCATGCACACGTTGCTATATAGGTAAATTGCGAGTCATGGGGGTTGGGTGCACAGATTGTTTTGTCACCCGGGCACTAAGCGGAACACCCAATAGGTATAGTTTTTCAGCCGTCACTCTCCCCACCAGTCAAGCAGCTAAAATGCAAGGCCTTGTGGGCGGGGCCGGGGTGCTCCCGCTCTTGCCGCTGGCCCAATCACAGTGCGGCGCTCCTCCTGGCCGGTCGCCGATTAGTGGTTGCCATAGCTCCCGGCGTTCGCTTGACAAGATGGCGGCGGTCGGGGGGCCGCTGTCGCGTTTTCGGGTCTGAGTTCTTCCAGGCTTCTAAGCCGGGCACGGTTCTTCTGTGCCAGGCCCGCGAGGCCCAAGGCATGGGCTTCCGGCCGCCAGTCGCTCTTCTTTTGGGGCCTCTCCTTCTGCAGGGCTTCCTGAGGCCGCTGTGGGGGGACCTGGGTGTGTAAGGCGCGGCAGGGACCTCGGTGGGCCGGGGCTGAGGGGACTGGGCGTTAAAGGGCCAGACTTGGACTCCCCCGGGAGCTTCGGGAGTCTGGACCGCCAAAGCAAGCTACCACACACACCTTGGGCGATGACTCTTGCACTGCTAACCCCTCCCTGTCCCCTTCCTTCCCGCCTAGCCTTCATCCCTTCTTTCATCCGAATGTCCGGCCCTGTGGTCAGGGCGTCCCTGGTCGGAGACACTGAGGGTGTGACCGTGTCCCTGGCCGTGCTGCAGGACGAGGCGGGTAAAGTCCAGCCCTTCTTTTGGGAAGGGTGGGGGTTGGACTGGATCCAGGCCTCCCAAGGAGCCTGGCGAGGTGGCATCCTCTGGGGCCCCGGCCTCTGTCCTGTGCAAAGTCGCATGGGAAGAAAAGGATGGGGGTGCTGCTGTAGGCCAATGAGGACAGATGACAGGTCCGAAGAAAGCTTGAAATAATAATGCCTGGCATTCATTGAGCTGTCATTGTGTATCATCCCATTTTCCTAGTAAGAACAGTAATATCTTTTCATCGCCTTTGACCAATGAAGAAACAAGTTCAGAGAGGTTGTCAGCATCCCAGTGTCAGGCAGCTTGTAAAGGGCCCAATCCTAGGCTTGTAATGAGAGTCCATCCTAGGCAGTCTGCCTCGAGTACACCCTCTGAGCTGCTGGGCTGTGCTGCCTTGCAAGCTGATCTTCTCTTTCTTAGGAATATTGCCAGTTCCGACTTGTAGAGTGCTGAGCAATGAAACAGAAGACTGGAGTGTGACTGTGACCCCCGGTGGGGTAAGGCCAGAAATAAACTTGCTCTGTAGCCTGTGAAGGGGCCCCCAGCCAGGGTTTCTGCAATGCTTTCTTGATTTGACAAGGCATGGCTTTCTCCATACTCGGAACAATCATGGAATTGTGGGCTGTTGAATCTGGTAGACACTTACCCAGCCTACAGGTTCCTTACTCTGGGGTTTGGAGTCCTTGGATGCATTTCAGGGGGTCTGTGAACTCTGAAATTGTGTGTAAAGTTCTGTGTGGATGTGCATTTTTCTGAAGAGAGGGTCACCAGTTTCCTTCAGATTGTCGAATGGGTGTGTGTTTTCTTCAGATTATTGAATGGGTCTGTGACTCAAAAAAGCTTTATGCCAGGCGTCATGGCTCAAGCCTGTACTCATAGCACTTTGGGATGTTGAGGCTTGAGCCCAGGAGTTCCAGACCAGCCTGTAACATAGTGAGACCCCATCTCTACACAACAAAAACAAAAATAACCAAGTGTGGTGGCGCACATCTATAGTCTCAGGTACTTGGAGGGGGATGGGAGAGCTGAGGCAGGAGGATTATTTGAACCCAGGAGTTCAGGACTGCAGAGATCTAAGATCAGACCACTGCACTTCATCCAGCCTGGGCAACAGAGCAAGAACCTGTCTCTTATTTATTTATTTATTTATTTTTATTTTTATAGAGACGGGGTTTCACCATGTTGGCCAGGATGGTCTCGATCTCTTGACCTCGTGATCCTCCTGCCTCCCAAAGTGCTGGGATTACAGGCGTGAGCCACCGCACCCGGCCGACCCTGTCTCTTAAAAAAAAAAAAAAGCTGGTCAGGCTGGGTCACCTATAATCCCAGCACTTTGAGAGGCCAAGGTGTGTAGATCAGATCACCTGAGACCAGGAGTTCAAGACCAACCTGGCCAACATGGTGAAACCCTGCCTTTACTAAAAATACAAAAATAAGCTGGGCATGATGACTGGTGCCTGTAATCCCATCTACTTGGGAGGCTGAGGCAGGAGAATCACTTGAACCTGGGAGGCAGAGGTTGCAGTGAACCGGGATCATACCACTGCACTCCAGCCTGGGTGACAAGAGTGAGATGCCATCTCAAAAAAAAAAAAAAAAAAAACGCTTCATAACCACTGATCTTGCCCAACCCTGAGCTGATGTGTAAGTATACTGAAACTTGGAGAGATTGAGTATCTTCTACTTAATAAGTGTTTATTGGGCACATAGTATACGCAACATCAATTCTGGAGATAAAAGGACGAGAAAGACAAATTTTGCTTGTGCCCCGGGAATGAACATGTACATGTCTAAAGTCATTTTGGGATAAACTGAGGATGGTTTTCATTGACTTTTTTTGTGTATTTACTTTCCAGTGATAGGATGATAAGCTAAAAAGGTGTGAGATAAACTGAGTTTATTGATCAGATCTATTTAGCTTTCTCTAAATATCCAAAAGTTGCTTTTTTTTTTTTTTGAGACAGAGCCTTGCTCTGTCGCCCTAGCTAGAGTGCAGTGGCACGTTCTCAGCTCACTGCAACCTCTGCCTCCTGGATTCAAATGATTCTCCTGCCTCAGCCTCCCGAGTAGCTGGGATTACAGGCACCCACCACCACGCCTGGCTAATTTTTTTGTATTTTTCGTAGAGAGAAGGTTTTGCCATGCTGGGCAGGCTGGTCTTGAACTCCTGACCTCAGGTGATCTGCCTGCCTTGGCCTCCCAAAGTGCTGGGATTATAGCCGTGAGCCACCACACCCAGCCTAGAAGTTGTTTGCTTTTATGTTGAGTAGGAGTCAGGGCTTGCATGTTACCGTAAGTTTATGGGGTGGAACTGAAGATAACTATGTCATCTTTGTATACATTTCCCTTTTATAAAATGATAGAGGCTGATGTGTGCTTTTATTGTGTTTTCAATTATGTATTTTTATAGACCCTGTTTTGAGTCACTTTAAAAGTAAAGCAATCTTTTTTTTTCAGAAGGCGTTGGAAGTGACAGTAAGGTGGAAGAGAGGTCTGGACTGGTGTTTCTCCAATGAGACAGATTCCTTCTCCGAGTCCCCCTGTATCCTCCAGACCCTTCTGGTTTCAGCATCTCGTCATTCATCCTGTTTAGCACATGTGCTCATTCAGGTGGAAATTTATGCCAACTCTTCTCTGACCCATAATGCCTCAGGCAAGTGAAGTCTTTGACTATCAAAACTTGCATGTTGGTCCCAGCTACTTGGGAGGTTGAGCCCAGGAGGTTGAGGCTGCGATGAGCTGTAATAATGTTACTGTATTCCAGCCTGGGCGACAGAGTGAGAC